TGGGCCAAGTAGGCTGTGGATGGGTCTCCTACAGTTTGAATGTTCTCCTGGAGGTAACACTGCTTGTCTGGCTGTATCAGAAACTATTTAATTGCTTTGTAGTTAACTTTTTGAATGAATATCACTCCATACCATCAGAAGGATCACATTTCTCCTAATTCTTGTGAGGCTTTTGGCGGTGGGAAGTGTTAGTGGATGTCAGCTGCCCAAACTCAAGAAAGAGAATGTGTTTCATTCTTTTACATGTAGCTGTCCAGTTTCCCAACACCACTTACTGAAGAGATAGTATTTTCCACATTGTATATTCTTGTCTAGTTTGTCATACATTAATTGACCATATGTGCATGGATTTATTTCTAGGTTCTCTATTCTGTTCCATTTGCTCTATGTGTCTGTTTTTGTGCCAGTACCATACTGTTTGGTTACTGTAGCTTTGTGGTGTACCTTGAAGGTGGGGAATATGATACTTACAGATTTGGGGGGGTTCCCTCAAGATTTCTTTGGCAATTTGGGGTGTTTGTGGTTCCATACAAATTTTAGGATTATTTGTTCTAGTTCTGTGAAAAGTGCTGTGGGTATTTTGATAAGGATTGTATTACATGTGTAGATTGCTTTGGGTAGTATAGACATTTTAATAATATAAATTCTTCCAATCCATGAACACAGGATATCTTTCCATGTATTTGTATTACCTTAAACTTTCTTCATCAATATCTTACAGTTTTCAGAGTATCGATCTTTCACCTCCTTGGTTAAATTTATTCCTTGGTATTTTATTCTTTTTGATTCAACTGTAAGGGGATTGTTTTCTCGATTTCTTTTTCTGAAAGTTCATTATTAGTGGATAGAAATGCAACACATTTCTGTAAAAGAATGAAACTAGAACATTTTCTCACACGACATAAAAAAATGAACTCAAAATGGATTAAATAGCTAAATGTAAGACCTGAAACCATATAACTTCCAGAAGAAAACATAGGCTGTATGCTCTTTGACATTGATCTTAGCAATATATTTCTGTCCCCTTTCATGTCTCCAATCCTTTGCTTATCCAGGTCCTTGGAGCCAGAATCCTGTTCAACCCTTTATACATCCATCCACCAAACATTTACCAAGGACCTGTTAAGTGCCAGGCATTTTTAGTTCCTAGAACACAGAGATGAACAATAGTTCTATCCTTGAAGAGTTCTCGAGATAGACACATAAATAGCTAAACTGCAGTGTGATAAATGTTCAGAGAGAGATGGAGATTATGCTTGGACAGTCCTGAAGATGGAGCCATTAAATATGACCAGGTTGCAAAGAGGAAGAAAGAGAGGAAATTTCACAGAGGTGACATTGGAACCTGTTGAAATCCTTCTTATCCTTCAAAAGAGCAGCTCAGAGGCAACTCTGATGCCTCAGCAGTGCCAGGCATCATCTCTGATCATCCTGTATTTACATCTGCCCCAGGACGTTTCAATCCACTTGTGCCCTGGGCATTTGTTTGCTTGTCTTTCTCAAACCAGACTGAAGACTACTTGAGGTTATATCTAATCTTATATTTTCATAGCCCCTAGCACAAGATCTTGCATGCCCTATGAGCTAAATAGTTGCTTACTGAACTAAATTAAATTGCAGTGTCTAAGGGTGTCAGTGAGTCAAGTAGCAATGTAAGATTCATAAAGTTCCTAGGCAGTCGTTGTGCCTAAAAATAGCATCTGCCGTGATGGCAAGATGAAAATGTCACAGATGGAACTATTCAAAAAAAAAAAAAACTCACAGCACTCAGGTTTCAAAAAGATACAGCGCCTGTTAGGAAGGATGCAACTGGTCAATTTCCACGTGGTATTAAAGTCAACCTGCAGACACATTGTTAAATAAGATGTGAGATGCAGAGAATGAGGCCAGCGGTTAAATCCCATAGAAATAAGGTAGGGACTGTGTCTCAAGGAGGCAAGCAGGGTCACTCTGAATATCCTTAGCAGCTGTAACAAGAACAGAGTTGAACGAAGGGCCACACAAAAGGGAAGCAACCAAAACACAAGGCTGAGAGGAGTCAGAATTATTCAGATGTAATAACTCTCATCCTCTAGTTGGCATAGTAAACTGACTTGAACAAAATTCACATGTTACCCCAGTGTGGCAGCAGCAGGGAAGAGAAAGCCTCAGGCAGAAAGAAACAGAGCCCTCCTGGACCAAAAGGGAGAAGACAGCTCTTTAGGTCCTTCAGGTAATACAGCATGTTGACCTAAACACCTCTGTTTCTCATCTGCTTTGGCAATTTGAGGTACTTTATGGGACAGCACTACCTTCTCTAGCTCCTATTTTTATAGCTGTTCACAAGACCTGTTAATAATCATGAATCCGTTCCATTTTCCCTTTACCCTCTGCCTGCACCTCCATTAGATGGGTTCTCCATCTGGTAACATAACTTAAACCCTCATTCCTGTAGAAATGGAGTTCTTGATGATCCTGTCTCCTTTGGGTTGATGCAATTTTTCATTGGTGAGACTACTGAGCAAAGACAAGCCTGTGAATCCCGCTGGTCCAGTTACAGTCTACTTCTCCCTACCCTTAGCACGTAGCAATAACACAATTTCCTCTTGATAATTAGGATCCCAGCCTTCTCCACCTGTTTTTTCAACAGTAAACATTCCTTGAAAGTAGATTTTAAAGATAAAGTCACTATCTCTGTGGTTGCCTCAGAGGCAGTAGGACCTTAGCTCTCAACCCTTAGTATCACTGCATGCTTATCTGATTTTAGTGTTTACCCAAATCTTAACATCTTAACCTCCTTTCAGAACAAAATCACCTGCCTGTCTTTACTTTCATTCCTATATGAAATACTATGTTATTCACATGCTGGAGAGTAACACAGTGTAAATGAAGGACCAGGAGAAAAATTAAAGAGTCACTTTTCCTGTTAGTGCATATGATCCACACATAGCTCTTCCTTCCCTGGCAACCAAGCTGAGTGTCACCGGTTTTCTCTGTCTCTGCCCTCTTCTGCCTTAGGACAGCCACCACCTTCTCCTCGAGGTTTACATTGGCTTGACTTCCATGTTTTCCCCTCCTAGACCTCCTCCACCCAGCAGCCAGAGTGATCTTTATGGAATATGAGTCATATCAAGTCTTTCCCACACTGGAAACCCTCCAGTGGCTTCTCATCAGATTTAAACGATGGTTAGTGTCTCGGGGGCTTATGTCTCATGCAAGCTTACAGATGAGTCTTTTTAAATACCTGGGTGTTGCCACCTGCTGCTGGGGGAGCAGATATCCAAGGCCTCTGCCAACACCAAGAAGAGAGCAGTGCTGACAGTGCCAGCTAAATGCTGGCCATTGCCACTGATGCAAAAAAAAAAAGAGAGAGAGAGAGAGTTGCTACAGGAACTGCCAATGATTATGTCAAGACTCCCTATGAGGAATTTGGACTCTCTTGTAGCTGCCAAATTTACCAGCAGCGCCCTCCAGACTTGAAGAAGATCCTGGCACCTTAGCCATATGTCCACTGGCACTCAGGATTTTAAAAGCTCTTTATTTCAGACTCCTTGCCCTAGGATAGGGGCATTTGTGAATCCAATTTCAAAGGTATCCTTCCATTCATGGTTCAATTTCTAGAAGACTGGTCAAAAACAAGTACAATACTGAATTTTTTCTCAAATCATTACACTGAGACTCATTTGGAAGAAGAGAGGGAAGAGTTCTAAACCTCAGCTTATCCCAGAAATAATTATCATTCCATCATCCTTGAAGCTTAGCTTTAGTACCTTTCAGTGTTTGGAGTGCATACCCAAAAGTATTAACTCCACTTTATCTACGAGTGAATGTGCAATTCACACATGGACTCACAATCACCAGTCTTTTTTTTTAATTGAAATATAGTTGATGTACAATATTATGTTACAGGCGTACAATATAGTGATTTGTGGTTTTTAAAAGTTATACTGCATTTACAGTTATGAAATATTGGCCATGTTCCCTGTGTTGTACAATATTTCCTTGTACCTTATTTTATACCTAATAGTTTGTACCTTTTACTCCCCTATGCCTGTCTTGCCCCTCCTTCCTTCCCTCTCCCCACTGGGAACCACTGATTTGTTCTCTGTATCTAATTACTACCGTCTTGACCTAATTCTTCAGGAATTTGGCAAACAATTGATGAATGACTTGTAAAATAGACCCAGGATTCCTGATTTTTTGGAGAAGGAAACACTTTAGACAGATGATCACTGACCTCTCCTGACCACCGACTTTCACCTTCTGTGGAAAGACCTATATATGCTTCAATGATGATGTCATTTGTCCATTCTTCTAGAGAGAACTAGTCCGACTTTAATCTCAACTTTTTCTGTCTCTTCTCTGTAACACTGCGAATCTTGAAGATGTACTGCTTTCCTCTCCGTTGGTGTGCTTGTAATATTCTCGCTCATTTCCACCCACAGGACTTCTCCGTGAGGGCTAAACTCCTCTAGCAGGTAAGGCTCCCCAAACTCAGTCAGCTCCTCTTTACTTCCTGACTTACAGGAAAACCGGAGAATGCCCTTCCTATTGCTGTTCACCTACAGCAATAGAGGCTACATGTATTTCTCCCACAGCAACATCACTCCTTTCTTTTATCCACAAACTGCTAATGATGCAGATGGATTCTTTTCAATTTCTGACCATTTTTCCTTCAGAATCATGTGCTGAATCAACATAAAAAATCTATGTAGGCAATACAGCAGCTCCCCAAGAAATCAGATAGACCTATTTCAATAAGGGTCAACTACTTACAGCTACACAGTGTTTTTTTTTTTTTTACCATGTTTCTGGTTCAGCTTTCTCATCTGTAAAATGGGGATAATACTAATAGCCACCTTATTTGCTTAGAGTCAGGGACAAAATCATTTATACAAGTTTTGGGCCCATTTAACAAATAGGAATGACTACATGACAATGATGATGATGATGATGATATTAAAGGGAAAAAATCACAAAGTCACAAGATTTAGGATATCAAAGTGTTTATTGAGGTCAAATAAACATATTACAGTCCCATAATTTTTGTTATAAATATTAACATTAGCCTTATATTTAAGTAGCAATATCATATAATGTGTCAATAAATAAATCCATATTAGTAAAATGACATAAATAAAATGTGTAACTATGATAATAAATAAATTCATAAATATAAAGTATCAATTATGGACATGAAGTTATTTAGGGCATTTTTCCCTAAAGAAATGGAAAGTAATTTTTTTTGTCGGGGAATAGACATTTGCTTAAAAAATAAATTTCTGTGTATAAAACACCAACTACAATAAAATGTTATTAACAGATCTCACTATGCATGGAAGGTCTGCCTTCTGGTCTTACAGACACAAGTGACATTGTTCTCTTTTCTAAGCTGAGTAGGAGTTTGTTTAGAATCCATACATGATTGTGGAGTTTGGCTTCCCATTTTCCTTATGGTAAAAGTAAACCCCAGAAGATCTTATTGTTATTTCTAAAAGGCAGGAAGGTTGAGGTATCCAATCTCCAGCTTTACTGTGGAGAAGTGCACTCATTTCTCAGGGATATAAACAGCAAATCCAGCTCTCCAATTACTTTGATCTCTCCACCTTCTCCAAGCTGTGAACACAAGAACACACAAGTATTTGAGCTTTGATTACCGGGTATTCTAAAGAGGGGCAAATTAGAGGGAGATGGCATGAGCAGGTAGCTAGAACAGAACAACGAAGTTTTCACCTTTTATAAAACACTTTGCTAGAAAATGCCCTTTTAGCAAGAGTATAATGCGATTTGCCAAAGACTTTAAAATCATGGCTCTCTGAATGGACAGGGCACCTACAGGCATCAATCTCAGTTGAGATTCAATACCTCCCACTACTGAAGCTCTTCAAACCACTTCCTAACCAGACCACGCAGACAGAGGTGGTGCTGGGATCTGGGGGACCCAGCCAAGGTGCCACTCATCCTGCCTTGCTCTGCCTGGAGCCCCACGACTGTCCATGACCACTCAGCTCAAACAGCCTTGAATAAAACCTGCACATCCACCAATACACCTGGGCTTTTCCTGTCCCTACCTTCGTGACCAAGGAGGGGAAAAAAACCAGGTTTTCACATTTGTGGGGAAAATACCAGACGCATCTTGTACAGTTGCTTTAATGAGTAGAAGGCCAGATACAGATGCTAACACCCCTTCTCTCCTCCTCCTTCCAAGCAGTATGCAAACAAGGCTTTCGAACTCCGTAGGAGAGGGAGCCCAAATTCAAGTCCAGATCCTCCTCCCCTGAAATTCATCGAATCAATTCGATTTGCTCAAGATTATTTCAAAGAGAGCAACAGCTCTAAGTCATCATTGCCCTCTAGACTTTGATCTCCTTTCTCTTCCTGCCTTCCTTCACCTTTCCATCTTTCCATACTTCTTTCATAGAAGACCAAGGGATATTTTTTATATCTCAAAGACTCCCAAGACTATAAAGAATTTTAAAGCTCCTCTTGCCCTATTGTCTGTCATCCGTTCTGCTACAGCCTGCTCTCTGCTTTTACCTCCAGTGACAGGGAGTTAATACCCCTGGACTGCCCTCCCATTGCAGACAGTGCCCACCAGTTTTTCCTCCTGCTGAGCTTTCTCTGAATAGCATTCCTCTGTCACTAGGCTTTCTGGAACTATAGGGTAAAACAAACAAACAAACAAAACAAAACAAAACAACATATCCACTCTTCCACATGGCAGCCTACTGCAAATGTGAAAGTTGATTCTCTCAAAATGGATTAAAAGCTTTAAAAATCTCTCTGTTTTTTCCCACATAGGTCATCATCAGATTTTCCTCTCCCACGCTTCACTTTTCTAAAGCCAACAGAGGAAGCCAACATGAGGGATGTTTCAAAGTACTTCTCGGCTGTGGCATGCTACTATTCCGCCCTCTACGTGTAGCTTACTGTTCTATGACAAGATAATTAATCTTCACAGTGAAAAATGATAAATCCTTCAGTTATCAAAGGAAGAAAGAGTTATGTTCATTAAATTATATTCCGGAAGAAATACTTTTTATAAAAAACATCAAGATGGAAAAAAAGGGGGCGGGAGCGGGAATTGAGGCTACGCATGTTACTGAAAATCTCACCAACCAGAGCCTTCGTGTTTCTGAGGTTTAATTGTACCTGCCTGCAAAATTGTCACTTTCGCTGCTGCTAATCATACCTCTGGTTTTTGAATGAGTCACAATTTCTAGTCTGAGCCTTCTGTTGCTCTTTTCCCCAAATAGGCCACATGACAGTAGCATTCATTGTACAAATGCACACCAGCCTATACCAGGTAGATGTTCACTAGGGGATTGTTGAGGGAGGGAGGAGACCAGAAAAGAAGGAAAGGAGAGAGGAAGAAAAGAGGATGTTCATTTCCCTACAGTAACTCCATTATTAATAATTTCGTTCTGCTTGAAAATGTGTAAAAGAAATTGGGGGTTGTTCATTCTTACTTTTAAGTTAAAATCAATAGCTGTTGGGTATTAGATTATAAAAATTAAATATAAGTACCAATCATTCCAGAAATTCATCCTATATACAAGTCCAGCTTCTTTGTTATGGTGGTTCCAGGTATATGTTTACAAGTTTTAAATTATCAAATTAATGGCTTCAAATAAATTTGGCCCCAGGCACTTCTCTGGTTTTGAACAAATGCTTCTTCAGATTAAATGAATCAGTAGGAACCTTACATTTCCCTAAGAATTAATATGACTAAAAGTCATAGCCATTGCTTCTGGCCCAGATGGGATTCAGAAGACCTGCATTCTCTTCTGGTTCTGCCACTGGCCTTGTCTAGCACTTGAAGTGGTGAAATTAGATCACCTGAGTTCCCAGCCAGTTCTAGAATTCTATGATTTACAAAATTTGGAAATTGATTTATAAACATATAGACCCATCTACACACAGACACACGCAAATAATCAACCCAATGGCAGGAGAATCAAGTGAAAAAGAAAATCATGAAGTGGGGTAGAAAAAGAAAGAAAGGCAAGGAAAGAAAAACATTTGTCTCTTCCATAACTTAGCATTAAATAGTCATCAGTAGTACCTTTTTCACTGTGTTCTTCAGGTTTTGCATATTTCTCTGGATATGCTGGTCATCACCCTCAATGTGCTACAAAATGAAAACCAGAGTAATTGTTTTAACATTGTGGTACTGAAGCTTAATAAGCCTCCGTGTCTTAAACTGAGGTATGTTACGATTCACCTGGAATTAAAGTTCTTAGCAGTTTTGCCCACAATGACCTAGATTTCACCAGTGACCTAGATTTTCTGAACTCTTGAATTCCCTTGGACACCAAAATCCAGTCATTTCCCTTACACGGGACCTCGCTTCACCTTGGGAAACCGTACTGAGGTTGAGGTTTGTAGAAAGAGTGGAGTGGTTTATGCAAATCCCGTCAAGAATAAGACCATCACTGTACCTCATCAAAAAGGTGTGCTCAGAACGAGAAACGTACCTAAAACATCTTATGTGAACAGTAGGGCCTCCTCAATAAAGACTAGGCCCCCTTAGCTCTGCCCACTCTACTCAAACCTTTTTTCCTAGCTTTACATGTTCAGAGGCATCAAGCTCATACACGGCTGATTTTGTCACTTCCCATATCAAGAGAGCAGCCTCCTTCACTCACCTGCCACCGAACGTTAAATCTTCCCGTTTCTGTCTCTTTCCCGTCCCTTCCCTCCATCAATTTATACTCGGTGGATCCATTTCCAGTAATAGGCATTTTTCCCTACAGCGCCCAACACCCTTCTCTGCTCACATGACTGAGTTGCTGTTTCCCAGGGACAAATAAGCCACCTGTGGTCTTTCAGACCCCATCCATCACCTTAAAGTCAAAGTGTGACTCAATTAAAGCAAAAGTAAGCACTCTGTGATTCTGACTGATTCCTATAACAGTGTTGCTGAGGCACTCCTTACTGCCAGCACAGGAGGGGCGGTGAGGATCAAGGAGAAAAAGACTTGACACAGAAGGCGGGATGGCAGGCAGCTGGGAGTGGGTGGACTTAGGCTGGAAGAAGAACTTACGCATTGGCTTAGCTGTTTGCTGAGCTTGGCCAGGAAGGGCAGCACCTCCTGCATGTAGGGCTGGAATCTTTCAGAATAGGGGAACAGCACTTCTTCAACAGTAAAGTTCAGCACCTGCTTCAACAGATAGCAGCGCTCTTTCATCTGCTAGTGAGCGAGAAACAGCAGAGGTCGTGTTAGGCAACATTCAGACAACCCAACCCATCATCACCACCGCTCCAGATAACCACGAATGGCTCCCGGCTCTGTTCATCATGATTGTGGCTTACATTGATTCCCTGGAACAGTTTGTTCCCAACGAGACGAACATCCGTGTTGTTATCCGCCAGACTAGCCTGGAAGAGAGGAAAAGACTAAGTTCCTGGATGTCAAGGAGCTGGAATGAATGTCTGTAAGTAGAGCTATATTCTATCCTCCATCCCCAGAGCAGCCCTATGAAGACTAAAGAAAAAAGTCAGATGTGTGTTAGTTTAAAAGGATGATCAGAGGATCACGTTGATGGATTGGAAGACTCAGTATTATTAAGATGTCAGTTCTTCCCAATAGGACCTATATATTTAACACAAAATCACGGGTAGACAGTAACCCTCTACACTGCTTTTGAAATTATGTAAATCTAAAATTATTTCAAAATAAAATATTTTAAAAATTAAAAGAAAATAATGATCAGAGGAATAAAGGGGACAATGAATAGTCAGATGGGCTACTAAATAGCTCATTTTTGGGCAAAACTCAGTGTACTATCTTAAAGCCCAAAAAGGAAAGGTCTCTGGTAAAGTTCAATCTTAAAAGAGTCTAGAAAGAGACAGAAAATGATGGCTGATCTACCAGTAGAGATACGTGTTAGTTTCTTATAGATCTTAGGCACGCTCTGAAGAAATTTTAAGAACTATTCCGGTTCCAGGGAGACAAGATGGGAAAGAAAGGGGGAGAGAGGTGGAGATGAGTACCTCCTTGGCCAGCGTGAAGGTGCGATTGATGATATAGGGCTCCTGGAAGCGGGACTTGTCAAGCCTGCAGGGAGAACTGACCGGCACAGCCTCTCCTCCCAGTACCGACAGGGCGATGAGAAGGAGGCAGCTGGCGGCCAGAGTCCCTGTAAGGATCGAGCTCACAGACTTCTGCAGGGCAGTCATTGTGGACAACACGAACTCAAGCAATTGGCGACTAGGGAAGGAGAACCTGGTATCGAGAGAACAAGAAACAAAAAGAACAGAAAGGAAAACAAATGAAGTATCGAGAAGTATCATAACACACAAACCGATCATACCAAGTCTGCCGGAGCTCATACCTGTTGCGATGGTTCTGCTTGTGATGGGGAGGGAGAAGCTGCTGCTTTTATAGCCCCCAGGACGCCAAATTGTGTGTGTGTGTGTGAAAAATATGACATCAGCAATTATCTAATTTCCAGGCCTGTCTTCTGAGAACTACCTAACCACCATGGGAGCCCACAAAACACCTCCCCCTATCTTCCCACCTTGATACGCTAGTGTTTCCCTAAAACGTCACTTTTAGGGCCCGGAGGGTGATTTACAGACAAATCCCAGAAATTCTGTACACCCTGCATATTTTTCAGAGAAAACAATTGCTTTGTCTTTGTAGATTCCAGGTTTACTATAACATTTTTTGATCTCCTATAGTCAGTGAGTAAGCCACGGACTTGTTTTCCTCCCAGCTTCATAGATTCTTATCTCATTAGAGGTGATCAAAAATAAAGGACCTATATCCTCTGCTTTAAAATAAACTGTGGTGACAGCTTGGAGATAATTCCATTAAAAAAATAATTTTATCTCATTATTTAAGTACGTTGAAGCCTGAAGAAGACTTATATTTTTAAAATAACTGTGTTGGCCACTCTAAGCACTGTTTTCCTTCGGTTCTGTGACTTTTTTAGGTGACCATAACAATTATAGTAGTTGCAAGTATATCCTAAATTTTTTCGTTAAGTTATCATCAATATCTAAGTTTCAAAATATTAACTCTGAACAATCTGATTGCTATTTTTCATAACATGCAAGTATTTTAAGAATACGGTAGATGTAATAGTTCATCTTGAAATTTTACCCACACTCATTCTAAACAACACACAAGTTTCAAAGTAATATTTCCAAAACATCTTATAACATTTTTTATATGCATGACAGTCTAAAGAAGAGAATCTGACAATTTGGTTACATGTGGTTACATGTGGATTTTAAATTATTTAAAAAATACATGAAACCCTCCTGGGGGTGGGAGCAGGGAGTGGGTGCACTGATCTATTGCGAAGGGAAGGAATGTGAACTTGTGCAAATTAGTTTGATCAGATTTTTTTCTTCACAACTAGTTCATATCAGGAGCACTGAAGAACTGGAGGAAGGAAAGTGAATAATTGTAGAAACGAGCATTTTATGAGATGGCACAGACCTGGGGCAGGGGCGCCACAGGGAAGGGTTACAACAGCCTGAGGACTCAAAGCATCTGGGAAGATGGTATTTGGAGAAAGAGGCAAATGGGAAGGTTAGGGAAAGTAAACTAAAACTAGACCCATTGCAAATGTCTGCTTGGGGTTGTTCGTGAAACCATGATGAGGAAACTCTTCCTATTTCCTTTTATATAAGGTATGACTGTTTTTGTCCAGAACTGTGTATAATTATATTACCATTTGAGTTAAGTTATACAGCTGATTAAATAGGCTTTTGTTGGTTTTCCTGAGAAACTAACAAACACAATTTTGTTCCCATGGGAAGATAAGTTCTGACATCATTGAATCAGACGCTTTTGAGGGGAGAGTCTCTGTCTCTTTCCTCTTTGCATCTCCCACACTCAGAACAGCACTACACACATAGGAAGGACTCAGAGCATACTGAATGAATATATACATAGATCTGTGATGTTAAATAATTGACTGGGTATCTTGGGAATATGCATGGAGATAATTTGGGGACTGCCTTTATAGTACATCTAATGTTGGGGTTTGACCCAGTACTATTTGTCAGCTTCATTGCTGTTCCTGCATAAGGAATAGATAGCTGTGAAACAAAAACAGAATGCCAGAAAATTGCAAACCAGTCTTTAGTAGCAGCAATACATCTACTCCTTATTATATGGCCCTGATAGACAACCATTTATAGGATGCTGCTAACAGAGCCAAGATCTTAGGTTTCAGTGAGCTTAACCAAGCCCAATGTGGTGAAAATCTGCTGTAGGGCTGTGTGTGGGTTTCTAAATAGTCCTACAAGGAGTCTCAAAAATATTTGCTATTAGGAGAGATTGTAGATATAGCACATATCTGCTCCTGTGAAAACAACTAGAGATACATGTGTGTTAAATAACTTCATAATGGGCCTTTTCTGCAGTTGTTTCTTTGTGAATTTTCTAGTCTCTCCCAGAAGCCACCCCAGATAAAGAGCAATCCTGGTAGGACGCTCCCTGGCCCCAGACAGACTGTACCCATGGTCGATCTTAGCTGTATGCAGCTACTTACCTGGCCTGATGCCAGAAGGGCTAACCAGCATCCTCAGCTAGAGGTAGGCTTTTCTGTCCCATTCGCTGTACTATCCCTAGCACCCAGAGCAGTGCCCAGCACACAGCGCGTGATGAATAAATATTCACTGACTGCACGATTACACTGATTCCCAGCTCGCTGGCCAATGGGTGGAAATACACAGTGCACTTATTTCAAGTGCACATCTCTCTAGAAGTAAGACTTCAGGTATCTCAGGCAAAAAGTTTTCTATTCATTGTACTCCTCAGTAAAACACACATGATCACTGTTTCCCTGCAAGGTTCCTTCTGAGTGTGTGTGTGTGTGTGTGTGTGTGAGTGATCCCACCCTTATTCTCATTCCTTCAGCACCAATCACCCACTACCACCTCTACACCTGCTGTAGACCATTGCTCTAATGTGCTTGACATACATTTCTAAATATATATGCATCCTTATAAAACAGCAAGTGTTGCTTAATGTGTGTAGGTATTTTTATTTTATAGGGCTGGCTTGCTTTCTTAACCTTTCACTCAGCATTGTGATGTTGCAGTCTATCTGCATTGCTGTGTGTAGCTCCTGTTTCTACCATGGCGTTCCATACTGTGTCTCCACATATTATGTATTTGTTCTCTCTCTCATGGACTTCTAAACCACCACCAACTGCCCTCTCTACAGACATCACAGCACTAAGAAATCTCATCCAAGTCATTTTAATGGTATTTTTGGAGCATATCTTTGAAATAGTTACCCAGCAGTAGGTCCACTGGGTCATAGAGATAAATTAATTTACTTTTACTAGATACTGCCAGATGGCTCTCCAGAAAGGCAGCACTGATTTACTGTCTGATATCAGTGAAGAAAGGTTTCTATTTTCTTACATCACCACCCACACCCAGCATCATCCAGCTTTAATGTTACCAGCTTTGGGGGGTTTAAAATTGTATCCCATTATTGTTTTAATTTGCATTTTTCTTCATACATTCTTGGTCACTTGGGTTTTCTTTTATGAATTGATTGTTTGCATCAGTTGCCCATTGTTCTAATGGGCTTTGGTCTTTTACTGTTGTTGATAATGATTTGTAAAAGTACCCATATATTTTATATATTAGTTTTTTTTTGGTTGTAGTCATAAACTGTCCTCCCAATTTGTGTTCTGTCTATTAACTTGTCTATTTGTCCTTTGTCGAACAGAAAACTTAATTTGGACGTCATTTAAGACACCACTTTTCATTATATGGTTTCTCCTTTTCAAGGCTTTGTTTAAAAAGGCTCTCCCTATCCCTAGGTCACAAAGATATTCTACCTTTTCTTTTATTTACCCTACAACTTGCTTTTCACAATCAGGTTTTTAATGCCTTTTTGTAAATTATGCAAAGTAGAGAGTCAGCTTATTTTCCTCCACATGGTGAGCCAGTTTTCCATACACAATTTTCTAAACACTGAGTCCTTTATCATCTGTGAATTTCCCATTAATAAACAGCTATATTTGAGCTCTCTATTTTGTTCCATTGGTTTACTTTTCTCTTTTTGCTCTTGAGCCAGTTCCAGATTTTTATTACTGAGGAGAGTCTTTATATCTAGACAGGCAAATCTCTCCTCTTTTCTCTACTTTTTCAAGGTTGGCTTAGCTATTCATGAACTTTTAAAAATATATTTTACATAAATTTTATAATAGATTTATCAAGTTCCTGGAAAAAATGCAGCAGAAACATTGCAATATAATTTAATTTAAAGATTAATGTAGGGAGAATTGGCATCTTTATAATATGAATTCATTGCATCCAAGAGCATCTACCATCTCTCTACTGTGTGAGATTTTCTTTTATATCCTTTGATAGTGTTTCAAAATTGTGTCCACCGAGGTCTCCTGTATTTTCTTAATTCCTAGCTACATTATAAGAGAAGAGAAGAAGCTGTTACTAATCACTTTCACCTGGGTGTGAATGAGTACCAAGTTGGTTTGGAGAAAGAGACTACTGGGCTACTCATCTCCTGAGAACATAAAGAGAATGTGCTTTTTTTCAAGGGCAGTCGAGAGGGGAAAGAGAGGTACCCAGCAAAGAACAAAGCTAGAGACTGGAGTTTCCAAACATGAACTTCATTTGCTTTACAGTTCTGCTCGAAGATAACCTTGTTGATACCCAGGACAACTTCCTACATGTCTAACCTCTCCCCCGTTAACACCTTGCCCACAAAGACACTTGTCAACCATAGCCACCTTTCTCTCCTTCCTGAGGACTAAATAAATCTTGTGAATCTGTACTTGACCTCATCTTAGAAGGAAGACTATACCCAAGGGAATGTGTCATAATATAAATGAGTATATTTTCCTCTCTACTAATAATACCAACTACTGAAATCAATTTCAGTGATAGAAGAAAACATTATTTATGCAACTCCTCACTACTCTAGTGCATAAAAACAGAACTTGACACTGGCTTCTTTGTGTCTGCCCGCTATTGCTGTAGATGTTTTTAAAGCCAATGGTCCATCCCAGTTTGTCTTTTCATTGATTATTTTGACTAGTAAATAAGTGTTTAAAAAATCATAACTCATACTTGCTTGTACATGGCTAATTACCTGTTATCAGTGAACCTTTTCTCCCAACTCTCTAATCAATTTTAGGATTATTAAAATTTCTCACAATCACTTGCACAGGTTAAATACTACTTTAAAACATAACTTAAAAAAATTCGTATTAAACCTCC